TACATTGACCAATGGGAATAGCTCTGTACAATGCCTCATTAGAATTATCCAATAGAATCCCTGCTCCTAGCTTGCGCCTTTTTCCCTATATAAGGACCCCTTTCCCTTGGCTCGGTGCGCTTAGCCACACAGAAGCTAAGTCGCCCCGGGTACCCGCGTCTCTAATAAAGCCTCTTGCTTTTGCATCCAAGTTCGTGGTCTCGCTGATTCCTGGGTGCGGGTCTCCTTCTACGAAAGTACCTCTTCGGGGGTCTTTCAGTCTGTTGTGGTAGGCTGGGGAGTAGTCGTGTGGGTTGCAACTCTGCAAGAAAAGTCTACCACACAACACACATACATAAAATAAAAATAAGTCTTATGAAGAAAAAGAGGAGGAAGAAGACAGCGGCAATGAAGACAGTGGCTAGGGCACAATGCTGAATAATGATCCCCAAAGACATGGCCTCCCCATCTCTTGGCATCCATGTAGCAAATGTAACTAAGTTAAAGATCTGTGATGGGTGGAAATGTTTGAATTTTCCCCACAGTAGGACTGTAAGAGGAAGGCATCTGACACAGAAGAGATGAAGTGACACAAAGGATGCCAGCAGCTAGTAGAAACCTAACATAGGCATCAGTGCATTGTCCCCTGCTTACCTGTAGGCAGCTTAATCTCAGTGTGTACTTATGCCCTTTAGACAGCATGCCTGCAAAAGCACATGCAGTAACACACAGCTTTAATCCCCAACACTTGGAAGGTAGAGGCTGTAAGAACAAAACACCTGGATGACCCTAACCCCGCCCCCTAACAACCCGGGCACTCACTCACCCACCATGCCTTTCGACCTTTGCCCTACTGCGCATATGACTCCATCTCACCAGTTTGCTGGGACTCTGCATCCAACACCCGACCCTATTCGGTAAGGTTACCCCCTTTCAGTTGGCGTACACGTCTCCCTGAACCCGAAGGATTGACCCTTGAGTGCCCTGCACCCTTTTGGTCTTCTTGGAGGCAGGGGAGCACCCAGCCACGATCTTCATGGTCATGGTTGATGCCCTTTGCCAACAATCACTCCTGGCTTATTTCCTAAGGGTGGCCCTATCAATACACTTGGTAGCTAGCCGCTGTAGGATGGTTGGGTTCTTCTGTTTTCTTTTTGTTCTTCGGGAAAGCTGAGTCCCTATTCAGACCCGGGGTCTATCGGGCTAAGCCCCTCAGCAATTTCCATGGGCCGAGGGCATCTGGAGAGGAGCTTTTTCCGGTTTTTAACTTGTTCACCCATGGGAAATAAACCAACAAAGGAGATAAGCCCATCCACTCCACTGGGATGTCTTTTAGAGAACTTAAAGCCCTTACGCCTCATGCTGTTCTTTAAGGCATCCAGACTCACATATCACAGTACTAAAAATGGCCTAGGTATTCCTTAGAGAACCAGTCTCACTGGCCCACAAATGGAACTCTAGAACTCCAGGTTTTGCAGGATTCATCTAACTTCTGTCAGCAAACTGGAAGATGGAAGGAGTTACCTTCTGTACAGGCTTTTTTCTATCTATCTGCTAAACACTCTCTCTGTCCCTCCTCATCCCCACTTATCTGGCTATGGAATCTAAGCCTGAAGTAAATCTTACCGACTTAGATCCAGCTGACGAAACTCCACCTGTTCATCTCCAACCTCTAACCAAGTCCTCTGAACCACATGCTAAGAACCTCGACCCTCCTATCTCTTCTTCTGCTTCAACCGCTCCTGCTCCAGCTTCTGCTGACTCAGCCTCTTTCAACCGCCCACCCCTGGCTCCTACCTTCACCCCTCCTTCTACAGGATCTCGATTTGCCAAAACCGGTCTGGCCACAGTCTTCCCCTGTGTGAGGTAGCCAGTGTAGATGGCGTGGTCAGAGTCCACATCCCTTTTCCACTGTCAGAGCTCTCTCAGATTCAGCACAGATTAGGATCCTACACCACTAACCCCACTGCCTCTATAAAGGAGTTTCAGTACATTGCTCAGTCTTATAGTCTTACTTTCCATGATATTTTCATGATTTTAAGTAACAATTTACTACATGAGCAGTACAAGCGAGTTTGGGATTACAGGAAGGCATATGCAGATGAAATACATCAAACCCAGCCAGCTCACCCCACCGGGAATGATGCTGACCTAGAGCAGGACCCAAACTGGGATTACAACATGGCAGGTGGTATTTTGGCTAGAGACCAATTTATAACTTGCCTCATGACTGGTCTCCGTAAGGCTGCCCTAAAACCCATAAATTATGAAAAGTTCCTAGATACAGTTCAGGGCAAATCAGAGAATCCCTCTCAGTTCCTGCAGCGCCTAAAACAGGCCTTTTTGCAGTATACTTACTTAGACCCTGAGGCACCAGAGGGAAACTGTTTCTTATGACATACTTTTTTCTCATAGCCTCCCTGACATTAGAACTGAACTTAAAAATTTGGAGAGAGGACCCCTAACTCCACAGGATGCAGTCCTAAGAGTGGCATTTAAGGTGTACCATGGGAGAGATGGCCAGACCCTTAAGAACAGATACC